CTATCGAAGTCTTCACTATTCTGATCCCAATTTCATAGGTGTGTCCGGATCTCAGGGAGTGAGCTTTCAGCCGCTGTCTGGCCCAGTAGCGAAGCGGTCCTGGGAAATAGTCAAAGGGGTATGGTGCCTTTCCGCCGTACCCATCGAATTTCCTTACGAATCGTCGCTATCAATGATGTGGGAAGGTATAATCCGCCTAAGGTGGAATCTATTCCGAGGTAGAGGAACTGAATCACTCGTAACTGGGATCGAACCGACTCCTCTCTGTTCACTATGAATCCCAACAGTTCCCGAAACTGTAAACATAAATCTCGTTTGTAAACGTAGTCAGGAATTGAAATTGCAAAAGGTAAGTCATCTAGGTATGTGACAGCGGATACCCTTTGCTTTTCAGTGCGCCGTGACCGGCTTCAGAAACTCCATGAGGCATCATGTGAACCTGTGCGAACCCCTTTCGAGGAGTAGATCCCCTAAGAGATGGATACCTTCCTTCTTGAGTTGTCGGTACACCCCAAAACCATTGGGTTGGCGTAGGTTGATGACTGGACGATAGTCTCCTATCTTCTTCCTTACTACCAAACCGTTGCTGAGATAAATGGTTCTCCAAACAATAGTCCATCCGCCGGAGGTCCTTGCTCTTTCGTCCCTAACAGTTTGAAATCCATCTTTTATCAGGCTGCTTTGCACCGTTCTGTGCACCTGTCTGCCTTGCATTCCCCAACCTACATATTGCCCTTGGCACCCATTCCCTCACATCGTGAGCTTCTAGAGGTGAGTCTTGGGTGGGGTCAGGTCCGCAAAGTATAGAATTTATTCCCGGGGCTGATCATGTCCAGTATGTCATCCTAACTCATTTTGAGTCCTTCTCCTACACCTTTACATGGTCCCCAGCCTGATCGGGACATAATTATCACCACAGTGATACCGAGCTCCATGGTGAGGACTATCTTGTTCGGTCCTAGAGGGCGTGGGCATTCCATCCTGAGCTTGTCTCGGACTTCTTTTCCCATAGGCCTGCTGAGCCAGAAGTGGGCAAAGTGTGCCCGGTGCTCCCGTTAACCACATTCGGATGACCCTGGGTTTCGGATGGTGCGTGAGTCAAAACAAGAGTGTCCAGTGTGCCAAAGGAAAACCTTTCTTGCTAGGCGGGTCTTGTCACTTTACCTCTACAGATGGAGACTCTTCTGCTCTTCATTCTTTCATGATCCCCAGAGAAGGGGGAGGGATGAAGTCCTCGTCCCCTGATGATGGAGCCTGAGATGATTAATGGACAGGACGTTCTGGAGAAGCTGCGTTGGAGCCCTTCCAGCGGTGTTTAGATGATAAGGTCCGACCTAATGTTGTCGGTATCTCTAGCTTCCATTGGTGTTGGTGCCGTTGCACCCGCTCTGTCGGATGGGTTGTTAGCCAGCATATTGGAGAGGACTTCTTCCCCCGAAGCTGCCATGGCGGACTTAATCCTCGCCTGAACATTGGTCGGGGATATTGAGGGAAGTCCGACATGTTGGTTCACACCCTTTTGGTCTGTGGGGGACACTCGGTGGGCCTCCGCGTATAACTGGGGTCACCCAGAATTTTGATCAATCAGTACCAATTTTGCAGGATCCGGGGAGTGGTCTGAGAATGAGGACACCCTCAGTAAGACCGGGTCTGCAATGTCAGGACGTAGCCCGAGAATGGGAGACGTGAAACCCTCAATACGTATAATCCAAGGGGTTCATCCTTATATAGCCTAGAATTGTGGAGTTTTGGTAGCACTGTGAGTTCTCCTTCTCGGTTAAGGGAAGGGCGTACGGATCCCCCAGTTGAAGCATAGAGGTGTCAGAATACATGCATCTAGTGCGCCCTGGTCTGTGCATACAATGACAGAGCGTACTCTGAAGATAGAAGCCCTAGAAAGGGCGTAGGGGGTCACCCCGTCTGGCAGGGGGGTCACCCCTTTGTACCTATGCCACTAGCACCGGAGTAAGACTCGCTTGGGGGTCACCCAGCGTAGGGGGTCACCCCTGTATGTATGTCTCCTATGTTGGGACACTCTTTTGGTCTGTGGGGTATCGAACAGGTGTCAGGTACGGTAGTACACTTATTGCCACTTAGTGGGCCTCCACGTACGACTGGGGTTCACCCAGAATTGTTTCAATCAGTACCACTTAGAGATTTCCTGGGAGTGGTCTGAGGAGTGGGTCACCCTCAATAAGACTGGGATGAGCGGTCTGTAATGTCGGGACGTAGCCCGTGTATCCAGTGTGTCCCGGTCTGTGCATACAGTAACAGATCGTACTCCGTGGATATGAGTCCGTCCTAGGGCGTGGGGGTTCACCCCAGTATATGTATGTCACTAGTACCGGAATAAGATTCGCTTGGGGTTCACCCAGCATAGGGGTTCACCCCAGTATATGTATGTCACTAGGACAGGAATCAGATTCGCTTGGGGGTCACCCAGCGTAAGGGGGGGGGTCACCCCTGTACCACAATGTCACTTTGGAGAGGTGACTGCCACGCTTTGGGGGTCACCCAGCGTAAGGGGGGTCACCCCTGTTAATCACTTCGTTATGTGCCTCCACTACTGTGTCCTGGGAGGTGTATCCCTGTGGGGAAGGAGTGTATCCAATGGTTGTGAGGTCCAGTGGGAGTAGGGAGCTGAGTAAGTTATCAGCTCTATTTAATTTCCCTGCCAGCAGATAGAGTAATGCATCCACTATATGCCCACAGTCCATTCACAATCTTCCAGATGTACAGTAAAACTGTTATTCAACATGTCAATTGTATAGAACAGAATAGAGCAAACTGCCAGCAAACATGAGTACTGCATCCACAATATGCACACAGCAGGGATCAGTCCTACATATTCATGCAGAGTTACATTTAAAACCTTTATTTCACATGCCAATGAAATATGACAGTATAGAGCTCAGCAGTGAACAGTCCATTCATAATCTTCCAGAAAAGCATTGAACTAAAAGTACGTGTAAAACTTTTATTTCGCAGTACAGATGAAACAGTACAGATCTAGCTGCCAGTTCGTGAGAATCACGAACTGGCTAAACAGCATGGCCGACGTGAGATTCATTCACGCGCAAAAGTGCCTTGTGGCCTGCGATCGAGGATACGATCACGACCTGCCGGTATGGAACAGAGTCCCCCCCCAACACCCCCAGTGACCTGCCCTGAAGTCCCAGCACCAGTGAATAGAGAAGCGTGCTCACGGTAAAACGCAGCGATTGCGGTAAAAAACCCAGCGATCGTGGTAAAACGCCGCGATCCGTGCAAGACCAGAGTAAAGCATAGAAAAGAAAAGGTGCCAGCAACAGAAAACCAAACAGGCTAATAAAGCAGAAAATACAGGGTTAATTCGGGGGAAGGATAACAGGGGGAGAATATCACACTATACAAGTCCAAATGGAAGGCAAGTGCAAAATAATGAAAAACATTTAGGCCAAAATTGCAGGACAAGCTAATAAAGTTTAACTAAAGTGGCCATGCATATCCAGAAACAGTTTGGAGCAAAAACTGAATGTCTAGCATTAAAAATCTAACTAAAGTGACCATAGCAATATTAATAAAAACAGTTGGAGCAAACTGAAAGTCAATTAATAAAGTTTAATTAAAGTGACCATTGCAATATCCAGAAAAGCAGTTTGGATTAAAACTGAATGTCTAGCATAAGGTGTCTAAATACAGTGACCATAGCAATATTAATAAAAACAGTTTGGAGCAAACTGAATGTTAAGCAATAAATGGTTAACTAATGACAATTTGCAATATCAATAAAACAGTTTGGAGCAAAATACTCTGACCTGTGCCTTGGCCGGTAAGCAGCAAAGAAAGAGGAAGTCATGTGTCTGTCAGGGCTTTATATATGATGTGATGCCTGTTACTGATTGGTTTATAGTTTATTGATTGACTTGTGCTGCTGGAGGCATAAAGTAAAGAAAGTTATGCAAAATATGAAGCCTCCTGTCATGTGATAAAATTAATCTTTTTGGACCTCAAAATCCAAATGATGGGAAAGTGGAAAAATAACTTTTTTTTTTTTTAAATCACTAGTAGAGTTGAGCAGACACCTGGATGTTCGGGTCCGGCTGGTTCGGCAGAACTTTGAAAAAAAGTCCGGGTTCGGGCTCGAACTTGACCCCTAACTTAACCCCAAACCCCATTGAAGTTAATGGGGACCAGAACTTTTGGGCACTAAAATGCCTCTACAAAAAGTCCTGGAAAGGGCTAGAGGGCTGCAAAATAAAGTAAAATGGGGGTAAGAGTAGGACAAGTGCCCTGCAAACAAATGTGGATAGGGAAATCACCTAAAATAACATAAAAATAAAAAATACATCTGAGATGTAAAATAGCACAAGATGGAATCTTTGATTTTAGCTTTGGAAGAACATAAATCTAAATCTAAAGCATGGCTGTCAGGAGGATCACCAGAATTATCCATTTGAGAGAGAGTTGGAATGCAGGGTATTCTCTTTCATTGTTCAAACTGAGCTCAACTCCTGATGCATGGAGAAAAGGCCTTCACAAGCCTCTGCTATTGTGTACATAGTTTATACTAAGTAACCCATAGGTTGAGGAGGTGGTGACCGTGGCGGTGTAGGTGGGAGCAGCGGTGGAGGAGGAGGTAGCCAACACTGAGATATATATATATATATATATATATATATATATATATATATATTTTTACATTGGGGTAGCCTCCAAAATATTGAGACATCTAAAAAAAGAAAACTGTTCCGCAGAGCGACCGTGCGTGCTGCATCTGAAACTCCACTATCGCCTACTGCTGCTCGCACAGTCTCAGGAGGCGGTGAGCGGGAAGGCCGAAGTTACGCTGCAGTGCAGACAGGCGAGCAGCAGCAGGGTGAGAACGCCGAAAGCGAGCACAGACGGCCTGCACTTTCTGCAGCAGCTCTGATATATGTATGAGTATACACCGTGGCATCACAAGGGCCACCCAGAACTGGCTCAACTCCCATCAAGCCAAGTTCTCGGAGAAGATCACCCAGCTCGTCATGCTAGAGCACTTTTTCAATGTGCCCTCCAACGACAAGGCAATGACATGAATGTCAATCCATATCAACTTTCGATGCTATTTACTGTGACTACCATGGTGACCACGGGTAACAGGAAATCAGGGTTCAATTCCATACAGGGACCCTGACAAACAGCTACCACATGCAAGGAAGGCAGCAGGCGCGCAAATGACACACTCTCGACACGGGGAGGTAGTGACAACAAATAACAATACAGGACTCTTTAGAGGCCCTTTAATTGTAATGAATCCACTTGAAATCCTTTAACTCTGGTCAATTGGAGGGAAGTCTGGTGCAGAGCGACTGACCCGTGCATGCTGCAGCTGAAACTCCACTATAGCCTGCTGCTGCTCGCACAGTCTCTCCAGCATGTGCAAGAAGGAGTTCCACCTTGTGGGCACGTCGCATGTGAGGCGGTAAGCGGGAAGGCCAAAGTTACGCAGCAGCGCAGACAGGCAAGCAGCAGCAGGGTGAGAACGCTGAAAAGCGCGCACAGCCGCTACAGTGAATGTCACATCCTGTTCCAAGTTGCGGATCAGTGTGGTGATGGCTTATGGTATCCAGTACTCTTTTTACTGAAGCTGCATCAGGGTCATGGTATGTGGCCGCACAAACGCTGGTGCTCAACACCAGGGGGCGTGCGGTTACCCTGCACCAGACCCTGCTAATACATTCCACACTGCGACTCCTAACTTCTACATCAGGCATACTGGGTACCGGACTGCGAAAGGCTTGTTAAATCTGTTATGGTTCCTTTTATCGCTCCATCTGTTACTTGGATAACTGTGGGAATTCTAAAGATAATACATGCCGACAAGCACTAGGGGACGGCCGCTCCGATTTTGCACCCTGCTCCTTCTTATGCTGTGCTGGTGCCTCTGTGTGACCAGCGCCTCTGTCTCCAAACTGCACATGTCACTTGCATGACCTTGATTCCATGTGGGGTCTAGGACCTCATCATCCTCCACATCATCTTCCATCCACTTCTCAACCCTGCCCTCATTGCCGGTCTGCACACTGCAGAAAGCCACAGCAGTTGTCACATGTGTTTTTTCAGCATGTAAAGTCTGCAAAGGACAAATGGAAATTGTTTTAGAATTGTATCTAGGCAACTGTTTTCCCTATAAACTGACCTCTCAGTTAGACTTGTGAGGGTATTGCCCCAGAATTACAATATTGTTATATTGGTATTTGACGCTTCTATTTGACTCTCAGATATGAAGAGCACGCCCCAAAATGTACTATTTAGCAAATTAGCAGCAAAACAATTAGAATGTTTACAACTGTGCTGTAAGCGCAATATATGACACTTCTATTTGACTCTCAGTTATGAAGAGCAGGCCCCAAAATGTACTATTTAGCAGATTAGCACCCAGAAAATAAGAATTTTTACAACTGCGCTGGAAGCGCACTATTTGACGCTTTGATTTGACTCCCAGATATGAAGAGCACGTCCAAAATGTACTATTTAGCAGATTAGCACCCAGAAAATTAGAATGTTTACAACTGCGCTGTAAGCGCATTATTTGACGCCTCTATTTGACTCTCAGATATGAAGAGCAGGCCCCAAAATGTACTATTTAGCAGATTAGCAGCAAAACAATTATAATTTTTACAACTGCGCTTTAAGCGCACTATTTGACGCTTCTGTTTGACTCTCACATATGAAGTGCACTCCACTAATGTACTTTTTGGCACCCAAAAATTTTTACATTTTAAAACTGCAATGTGACAGCAGCTTCTATTTGACTCGTAGATATGAAGTGCACCCCACTAATGTACTAGTTTGCAGAATTATTTCCTAATCTGTCCCTGAAAGCGGCAACATCCTGTCCCTATACTAATAAGAGCTCATGTGACGTGCGGCGCTACGTGACTCCAGCTTATATATAGAGGCTGGCTCACATGCTGCACTGGCCAATCACAGCCATGCCATTAGCAGTAGTGATGGCTTCTTAGGGCACACGAGTCAAACGCTTGTTGATTGGCTGCCCTGCAGCCTTTAAAAACGCGACATTAAATCGCCAAACACCGAACTCAAACCCGAACATACAGTGATATGTACGTGTTCGGGTCCGGGGTCCAAAAACGTAATGTTCGGTACAAACCCAAACTTTACAGTCCGGGTTCGCTCAACTCTAATCACTAGTCTTCTTAATTGGTACAGCCATCATCCATACTAATAAAACATAGGAATCCCCTATGACCAATACTTACAGGCAAGAAGAAACTGCTCTGATGAATCAACCTTCCTGAAGGAAACACATGAATTAAAGGAACAGTATAGGGTTAGGAACACAAACATGCATTCCTGACACTATAGTGTTAAAACCACCACCTAGCCCCCTTGGGCCCCTCATGCCTCCATAAATATAGCAAAATCTTACTTGTTTTCAAGCCTGTAGTTGTAGCTCTGCATGCTGTTTGCCTCAGAAAAACAAGCTGTCTGCTGACATCATCAGAAGGGGTGGCCTGATCCAATCACAATGCTTCTACATAGTATTGGCTAAGATTGACAAAGAGGCAGATCAGGGGCAGAGCCAGCACAATTCAAGCACAGCCCTGGTCAATAAGCATTTCCCTATAGAGATTAATGAAATCAATGAATCTCTATGAGGAAAGTTCAGTGTCTGCATGCAGAGGGAGGAGACACTCAATGTTTGGATGCATTTTAGGCAGCCATGACCCAGGAAGTATCTCTAACAGACATCTAAGGAGTGGCCAGTGAAGTTATCACTAGGCTGTAATGTAAACACTGCATTTTCTCTTAAAAGATAGTGTTTACAGAAAAAAGCCTGAAGGCAATGATTCTACTCACCAGAACAAATTCAATAAGCTGTAGTTGTTCTGGTGACTATAGTGTCCCTTTAAGACTGAGATTCAAGGGACCCTAACAGAATTCTAAAAAGAGCATTCCAAAGAGCTTGTTCCATGGATAGATACACCTGTCTCCAAACCGTGAGGCCTCCTCAAAAGACGCCCACAATATGTTACATAGGTACCTGTAAGCAAGGGTGGAAACCCATTACAAATATCATGGCACACAACTGATAAATCATTTTGCATGACAAGAACTTAAATAAAGTTCTAACCCTGATCCCAGCAATAACTGCTAATAGGCCTAGGAATTTATGAGATCTCTTGATGCATAGTCACCTTGGACCCACTTGACCAAAGTCCACCTGTCTGACCCCTACCAATGGAATGTGTTTTGTTGTGGACATTGCACAACACTTAAGTTTATCGAACCCTCTAAAGTTGTAGTCTATTACACTCGGCTATATTCATATGTCCCATACTAACAATCTCTTTACCCGATTTACATGCAACATTGGGACATTCATTATATATTGAAAAAGCTTGCCATAGTTGGAACAGTCTCCGAATAGCTTGTATGTTGAACCATCAGATCTGCCTCTGTATATATAATTCACTGGATTCTCATTTCATGATAAATTATTATTCAGTTTCCCCATTCAGGACAGACAGGCAATAGCTAATCAAACTACCCTGTTCAGGAGCTATTAAAATACTATGCTATTGAGTTGCCATTGCAATGCATAGCAGGCTTTTGAATGGTCAATCATCGTACTGGGGTTCAAGTTAATCTAACTATACACTACACAGGGATTGCAAGGGTAAAAATCATATAATTCTTAAGGTGTACTATTAATGGATAAAATTATATTGGTTGTAACTGCATATGTGTGTCAAAATGTCAATCTCCCCCTTTTTGTCTCCCTCCCTAAGTCTGTACATCAGGCTAACTGTTACAAACCAGCTTGTCCGTGACTTGACGTTTCTGTCTACAATCTTGTTATGCATGAACCTTGTAGAAATGAATACTTTTGATATGTTTTAGAATTTAAGGCCATATCCTGTTTGATCTATATATGCTACTTCTGAATGTACAATAACCCATTTGATTCTGAAACATAATTCTTTAAGGAAACACAGGGGTAAACCGCTTAGGAGATAAACCCTTTTGTGCAAGTGACGTTTTATTTCATCTCCTTAACGGTTTACCCTTGTGTTTCCTTCGTTTTATAGTAAATTCTACCTGGGGATCAACCCCCCTCCTTTATTAGAGTAACCTGACACTTTCTCTCTAGAAGGTTACTACCACTTAATACTTCTGTAAGTTTGTATTCTTACTCTCCAAACTTATATCTACAAGTCAACTCCTGTGTCTGTGGAGCAGCTGCAGCCTTTGAATACTTTGGTTAAAGTTCCAAGTAGAAATTACTCAAAACAGATGGTGTTTGAGGTGGGATTCCCATAGGAAAGTATTCGGAGGCTATTGTGCATGTGTGGCACAGTGCTGTGCTGCACCAGTCAGCATATCCTAATAGAGATGCATTGAATCAATGCATCTCTATCGGAAAAATACAACGTAATGATTCAAAGCGTGGAGACACTGAACAATAGTGCTGCACATGGTGCAGCACTGACACAGGAAGCACCTCTAGTGGCCATCTGAGTGACTTCCACTACAGGTGTTACTAGGCAGTAATTACAAAATCTGCAGGGACAGGCTATAGACACTACATGGTTCTGGTGACTGTAATGTCTCTTTAAATCTCTGTCAGGACCATTTGACAGACATCCTGTTTTAAAGATACCTAGATTTCTTTCTAACTTACGCACTTGTTACATGGTAGTCTAGGTTGAAAAAAAAAATCCTTCTTGACTCCATTGTGGCAATAGGGTTCTCTTTGGATCAATAACTTGTTAAAATACATTTTAATTAAATCCTTGAATATTATGTTTTAGCAAGCTAAGGGACAAGAATATTCCTTTTGAGAATTCTACTAATTCCAATGACATTACACTTCTTATAAAATTATTGATATACAAATTGAACAGATGTTGTTTTCAGTATCAAAATGAGACTTGTTATAGAGTTAGCCTCTTGTTCAAACGCTTTTGTCAATAGTGCATGTAAGCATTAGGGGAATGGGTATACAAAATAAGAGTCCTCTATATTTTGATTTTCTATACCGTAAAACATCACTGAATTTATCAAATCAGAGGTAAAATATTCCAATACTGAATTTATCAGATGTAAAATGTTATGGTTTACTAAACCCTGAAATAGCTCATAAGTAAATATTCTGCAATTTGTTCTGTATTATCCAAGCAAAGAAATTCAAATTTGTACACTGATGTAACCAATTCAGTTGACAGTTGCATTCTATG